TGTTTCGGAGATTTCTTTTAAAAATCGACCAAGATTTTGGTAAGTTACAAGTTTAAATATAGATTTGTATTCTAATTTTGTTATGGAACCAAAAATTCAGTATGAAAAAAAGATGTAAATCTTTTTAGTTTCAGTTATATTTATTATCAAAATAAGTTTAAGAATGTTTTAAAGAGACTTCAAATCCATTTCAAAATATCTCAAAATTATCAGTAAGATTCTGGTTCAAATTTTCATTTTCCTGCAACTTCGGTATATAGTTAGTATAGTTGGAATTAATTTAATTACTTAATATACTAACTAATTGATATCTGTCTTATTATTTGTTTTTATTTCATTAATAGTGAATTGGAAACTTCTTCTTAATATTTTAAAATATGCAAACACTCTCTTTACATACTCCATCATCATCGACTTTGTACTTAATTTCTAAGTTTCTTGCAATAAATCATGATGGTAAATTCTTCTTATCGATACACATGGTCATGGTCTCTCATTACCATATGAGGCTATATGAATATATATATATATATATATATATATAAACCCAAGTGCGGTTATTATCCGAGTACAGCTATAATAATAAATTCCGTAAAACGACTTGTTGAAGATGAAGAAATGGATACATTCCACATACTCCTACGCTTTCTATAAAAAATTATGAACATAATTTCTATAAAATAAATTTATCATATATAATATCATGTTTTATCTCCTTACTGCTTGATATCAAGCCAGGACTAAACAAAAATACTCTGGCAGTTAGTATGAACAAGAGACAAAGGAGTCTATTTAAACCTAACCTTTAACCTACCGATATTTTTTTATTCTTCGACTTTAACAATAGTTATTGAATTTATTTAAATTTGTATTATTTTTATTTGCCCGGTTTTGAAATAATTTTTCACCTTTCCCACAACCTCTGGATTAACAGGATTTTTTTAAGAATAAATGTGGCCAAATCGGTTCAGTCGTTTGGGAGTTTTAGCATTCCTAACATAATATCAAGCTTCATTTTTATATATAAGAAAAATGTACTCTTAATTTTCAACTGCAATAGTTATTTTTCCAATTTAGGATATTAATAAGACATCTGGTATTTAATTTAAAACCAAAATTAATTATTTTTTTATTTATTCGAGCAAATTTTTATTATATTATAGTTCTGATTGCTTGCATAATTTTTAATCAAAAGTCTCCGTTTTGCTTGTTCAGATATCGAAATTGCTAAAATTGTTTATCTAAATTCTAAATATATATTATTATCAGTCGTCCAGTTGTTTTTTTCAATGAAATAATTGTTTACTATGACGATTTATAAATATTTCGTTGGAGATTCTAGTTATCAGCAAAATTATAAACAAAAATTCCAATAGTTGCTGATTTGTCTAAAATATAAATTGCTGATTTTTCTGAATTTCCAGTATTTGTGATAAAAATGTTTATTTTTGTGTATATTTTATTTGATTGGCTGATTTTTTTACCTCGACGTTTCAAGTCATTCTCAATCGTATGTCAAGAAAATTGCAGATTTATCTGAATTCAAAATTTATGTGATTTTACTGCCGTTTTTATTGATTTTACTGTGCTTTAATTTTTACTACTGATTTTATTTTATAATACATTAATTTTTGCTAATTTACCTGAACTTTAAATATTTTTGCTGATTTTACCACAGATTTTACTATCAAATTTGACTTATCTTAAATTTATTTTTGCTGATTTTACTTCCAGTATATATTCAAAGACTTTAATAATTTTTTCATTAGTATTTGCTTTTGATTATATTTTTTGTACGTTTATTTATTATTATTATTATTAGTATATATTTTATTTATTTATGCTGATTTTACGCCAAATTTAGCCATTTTTTATATTATTACATATTGTATACTTTTATGATTTTGTTTTTGCTGATTTTATCACATTTAATGATTTGTACTGATTCACATTAGCGTTTTATTTTTCTGTTAACTTTGAATTAATATTTGATTTATTTTTGCTTATATTACTTGCGATGTTTAATTAATTTTTTTAGGTTTAATTTGAACGTTGTATATTTTCTGCTGATTATATCTAATTTTTCATGCACTTTTGCTGATTTTATCTGCAAGTAAATACTTTAACTCATTTTAGCAAAAATCAATTATTGATTTGTACTGATTTTATTGTGCATTTAAATTTTTCGAGTGAATTTTTTATACAGTTGATATACTTATGCTGATTTTACTTAAATTTATTGATTTTGTTGATCGTTTTCTTTATTCTAATTATAGTTTATTATTTTTTTTTTAGTTACATACTGTAACCTCGAATATTTCGTTACAGTACGGGAAGTTCTAGAAATTTGCCTTGAGACACGATGCCATACACCACTAGTTCATATTTGGGGTTTGAAATTTTAAGATTTTTGATGATTTTACTCACGATTTTTGTGGTGTTTACTATAAATGATATTGATTTATGTGGGTTTTACTAGTTGTCAATCTTTATTGTCTTTTGCTGAATTTACTACAAAATTTAGTAATTTTTGATGATTAAAAAATACTATATCTCGTCTGAAACAAGAAGTGAAATGAGAACAAATCCCATCTATCAATTAGTAACTAATACCTTCAGACATGGTCTCGCGGTACGCTTGCATTTAAACACACTGTAAAAGAGTATGATTTCAATCTTGGGTCATGGAAAGGCGCCCTTATTAACATTACAAAACCCGAACAAACGTATGCAAATGCGGTTCATTGTATTATATATTATATATCTCGGAATAATATCGCATATATTAATAATAATATTATTATTAGTTAGACTTCTGAAGAGAAGGTAGTAGACTAGACAATGGCGACAATGGTGACACACGTGGTATAAATATGAATTTATTTATAAATCGATAAGGATCACTATATCATATCAATGTAGTTGCCTATTGTTGTCTTGAGAAATTTAAAAGAGTTTTGTTAGTGGTAGATAATGGGTAGGTTAAAGGTCGGATTTAAGGCCCTAAAGGCTCTTTTATTGCATATACTTAATTTCTAGATATTTGTTAAATTATTATAAATTTGTTCTCGGCTGATATTTACCTCAACTTTACAAATTTTTGCTGAAATTTTAAATTGAATGAGAATATATAGCAAGCAATTTCCATAATGCAGTGCATTTTTTGTTAAACTAGTAGAGTATTGACGTAGTATTCATTTATGAAACAAAGTCACATTTATGATACTTAATCAACGTTGACTATACGTAACAGATACGTAACGTAATCGCAAAGCTTTATTTCTTATGCGCTGTACAAATTTATGGATAACTGCCGGATAACAGAAAAATGTTATGGCAAGGCTATGTTATAAAGAACTTTTCATGTTAAATATTGACAAAAGCCATGTGGTTGCTATGCAGTCAAGTTGTCAAGTAGAAAACCTAACCCAGAAACCGCACAAATGTCAAAGAAGCAATGTTAGATAACAGTTTGTTTCTGACCTAGCTTCATAACATACGAGTAACGTTGCAGTTTATGCGTAAAGCGCCTGAATGCACAGCAAATACATGGAATTTTTGACAGATTCAGTATGATTCAGTAGCATAATGTATGGAAGTCGGAGCGTAACATGGCCTTGCCATAACATTTGTCTGTTGTAAGGTAGAATTGGCACATTTTATGTTTTGCGAAAAAAATCCAATATGCTAATATTATATTTCCTAGGAAATGCAATACCGGTATACCGAATTACCGGTAAACCGCCCGATTTTTCGTCGGTATTTTTACCGGTATTTACCCCAAAAATAACGGTATTTTCGGTATTTTTACATAAGCGCTATTTGATACTTAATACATCGAAGCTTAAATTTCTCGGAACAAATTTATCTTTAAATTCCATAATCGCATAAACAGCTATATCTTCAAGAGATTCTATAGGATAAAGAAATGTCAAATATTATTTCAACTCGTCATTAAACTGAATATTTATTGTTTTACTAAGGGCTTCATATCGTGTTACAATAAATAGAATTGGACTGATAGATAATGATGTTTGTTTCATCTTTTGTAAAAATGTAACGGTTTTTTAAGTGATATTTGCGCCAAAATATTTTAATCAATATTTTTTTCTAGCTTTATACATAATAATTATGATAATTACTAAATATTTTTGCTTCTTATTACAATTATAAAATATTGTTTTTCGAAAACGTTTTGAAGTTTGAAAATACTATAGAAGCATCACATTGTTTTAAATAACAGTAATCAACAATTTATAGTAACTTATTATTTATCTCGACAAAGTATCCAATCTTAAATTAGTGTAGAAAATTATTTTTTTTTAAATATTGGAGATTATGCTAATTAAACACATCGGATACAGACAATACAGTTTATTATAATAATGTAATATGATCTATTATGAGTGGACAAAATTGTTTGACACATTTTGTATTATGTGATATATTCTAATTCAAATGTCCCGCCATTATTCTTAGTGATGTTGGCAACACTCTTCTCCTACCCCTATGTACCACCATCTTTATTTTTATGTTCATGTTATTAGCTATGTAAAATATTTCTCTTTTTGCTGAACCGTGAACCAAACAACATCTAAAATAAACTTGATAATTTAAAAGGAAGCATTTTTATTATACCAATGAGTTTTTGGTTTTTCTTACTCATAAGTTTGCTTTTGGTGAAAAGTACTCAATATACTCGATAGTGATAATGAATTAATTAAATTGCATATACTTTTGTTAAATTATTATTTAAAAAAATAAACTATTGTTTTATTTTATCATTTTTATTGTTTAGTTGAATATACATTTTTTTATATTTGTACTAGTAACGTTCAATTTTGTTTACGTTTGTTTAAGATAATAAAAATACCGGTAATTTACCGGTATTCCGGTTTTAAAATGAAAAATTACCGAAATACCTGTATTGAAATTTTCCATCGGTATTTGACACCTGGTTAATGACCTACTATTTATTTCTTGTTTCTTTTATTTTCAGGATGGTGTTGGTGTTAAATGGAGTGCTGCAGGACGACTGTCCCTCCGACACGAGGTCCCTTTTTGCAGCTCATCCGGTGTATAGGGACACGGCCGCCCAACTTTTGGCGGTGCCGTCCAAGGTAGTGGGGCCTCAAGGGCTATTGTACGTGCAGCAGAGGGAAGTGGCCGCCACTGCTCCGCACGATAGTAAGGATAACAATAATATATATATATATATAAATATATATACATATATATATATATATATATATATATATATACTAGCAAACCCGATGAACTCCGTTTCGCCACCAGATAGTTTCATGAGAAAGATGAAGAAATTTTTTGTTTGTTTTTTATTTGAAAAGGAAAAATTTGATTTTACTACACAACAGTAATGAATTTATTTCGATTACAAAAATGAAGTGTTTTTTAGTTGAACTTCTCTAAGTAAATGGAAGTGAATCCGCAAATTATCCGTTTCATTGAAGTGCTCTTAGGTAAACCATATTTTTTGTTTTTTGGTCTGACGTTAACACAAACAAAGCGGATGGTTTTCCAACTCGTGAACAGGCAACGTATAACAGCCCATGTGAAAAACAATGATTTTTTAAATAATCTTGAAGTCAAACGAAAGACCAGTCGGAATCATTGGTATGGCACCAAATCGCCAGCAATTTTTGATTGAATGATGAAATTCAGTGCGTGTACATAATTATTCTGATAATTCTGATAATTCTCACTAATGTCATTACTCGAAATTTTAATTACTGTGCATGAAGTTCCAGCAATTTTTATTAGGGCACGATGCACCACTAATTAGCACCACTAATTTTCATAGCTATAAACCTTGCGGAGCCCGAGACCTTTCCAACGAATTCAAAATTGTCGAAATCGGTTCGTGCGTTCTGGAGTTAAATCGTCAGGAAGGAAAACCCGACTTATTTTTATATATATGTAGATATAATATATACTAGCTATCCCGGCAAATATAATTTTGCGTTAAAAAATATTTCTAGTATAAAATATTTTGCTTAAAAATATTTTCCATTTTAATAACTTCATAGATTTATAGAAACTACGAATAATATAGAAATTATTTCTAATCAATACACTTACGTTTAGTACACGGCCCAAATGTTTAATTTATTTTAATATTATCAAGGAACAGTGTAAAATATTCTTCTGATTCAGGCATTTTTCATTAAATCAAGATTTGTACTATGATGTAACTTTAAAATGTTTATCTATCTATGTCGATTTCCTTGTTGATCTCTATTCACTCAACACGACGACTAATCACAATCGACCCGTATAGAAATGATATAATCGAGAGCGAACGACGAATCATTGGCACTCGACACTTATTTTATCTTTTCTGGCGTAGCGCACTTCCGTTGCGTTTGTACGGATTTACACCCTAGTCACGCCAAAAGAAGTTTTACCTAAAAAAAATGAGATAGTGGAAAATTTTACAGCTTTGCCATAGATTTGTATGGTACTTATAGTTCCCTATCAAAAACTGTTGTATCTTCAAGTTTAAATATTCAATCTCAAATTGAATTCATATAAATTTTTTATGCAAACCATTTATTAACTATAAACTGCTTGTGCGCATCGGAAAATATATATACAATGGGAAAATGGGAGGGGTGGACAACCCTTGATAAAAAAAATTGTTTTTTTCTACGTAAAATTCATGCTATATGAAAATTAAATTAACGGAAATTGGGCAAAAAACTAAAAAAAATGTTAGGTGTTAGGGCTATTCTTGATAAAAATAAATAATATTTTGAAGTACAAAATGTTAACATTTTGTCAATTCCGTATTAAAAAAATTAAAATAAAAATTGACCCCGAAATAAAAAAGTGTTAAGGCTGGACAACCCTACATAATAATAAATTGTACTTTAAAGTAAGATACAAGTTTTTTCTTTGAGTTCAAAAATCTAAAATTATCATTAATTAAATTTAATGAATGAAAAACGGAATAAAAGTAAATCCTATGTCCTTCTCCTGGGTCTAAACTACCTCCCTGCTAATTTTCAGCTAAATCGGTTAAGCCGTTCTTAATCGGTTAAGCGAAGTAACTAACACGATCTATATATATATATATATATATATATATATATATATATATATATATATATATATATATATATACAGATCAGATATATATATATAAATATATATATATATATTTATATATATATATATATATATATATATATAAATATTTGACTTGTATTATAGAATAGTTTTCCAAACCGTCATTGATCAAATATTCACTTTTTGTTGACTTTGTATGAAATTTATGCAATTTTAATATTAACCGCCATTTGTCGAATAGATACGAATCTTGTGAAAATACGTGAGCTGATTATTAATTTGTTATTAAATATTTTTATAAACAATATCATATTGTATTGCATTTTATTGCGACGGTCTTGGGGAAAGAATTTAGGTTAGGGACGACTAGGTAGATTATTAGATTTTAACTAATTTCAATTATCTATTTTTGTAAGTATTAAAATATTTTAATTTATTTTAAATATGTGTAATTCGATCTGTTCATCCCATTATTTAAATAAATTGTTTTATTATTTGCAGGAAATGTAAATATTCTTGGTTCTGATGATGCGACGACATGCATCATCGTAGTTGTACGACATTCAGGTAATTATATAATGGATTAATTAATTATTAAATTAAATTATAGTTTAAATAAATATATATGTAATGAGTAAGGTAAGAGTGCATCATTTTATTTACATTTTTTTTTACTTTTCCTAGTAGCTTAAATATTTCTTCGTACCTCCAATCCCTTCATTTTTTAAAGCTCAAAAATATAAGTTCGAAAAGTAAAATCTAAAATGTAGGTAAATGATATGCGATACACTCAAACGATTCCAATTTTGTGCGTGAACTCAAAAAATGGATTTTGAGTTATTTTTTTTAAGAATGATGTTCACTATTTGACCTTCCGGTTCGAATGGCCAAAAGTATGTTAAAAGACAGATTGCAAAAATGTATAAGAAGTCCGTGATCCACCGAGATGCTACCGAACTCTATTAAAACACTTGCACTTTATTTATATTGCCGAAGGACCAGATATACTTAGATAGTGGCTATATCAGACCGAATAAAAGAATAATAATAAATGTTTAATTATTGTATATTTGAATGAAAGATTAAGATTTATAGATGATATGTTAGATGTTATTGCTTTGAATGTTGATTTAGGACTTGTTGCTTAGTTGAGTATTGATTTAAAACTAGAATGCTAGTTATATGAAATTTTAGTTAATACTAATTTATAAAGATTTTTCAATTTTATATATTTTTCTGATCGGCCCATTTTATGGAATTAACGACATCCCAGTACTATTTTGGATTTAATCAGTAGCTATTACATTCATCAACCAATCAGGTATTGGTCGGTGATTGCATGATACGTAGAATTAAAACTGGGTACAGGTAATCCGCGTTTCTTAGAAATGTATTAATTGCAGGATGATATATTTAGGGACAGGTGATTAAAATTCTTAAACTAGTTGTTTTGGTATTTAGCCTTGAGGCAAATTACATGAACTTCCCGATATGTGTAAATAATCGACTTAATCAAAAAAAAATGTGTAAATAATATACTTCATCAATCCTACTTTAAAAAAACGATAATAATTTTAGCAAAGTTTGACGAATTTTTAAAATTAAACTACTTGTCGTAAGACCATGATGTATATCGCCAAAAAAAGTTCCATGAAAATCGGCTTCAATTTTTTTTTCAACAGTTCATTACAAGAAAACGGCTCGGTAGATTTTCACCTAAAATTAATCAGCATCATTCCCAAATGATATCTTTCGAACAGTTTTTGATTTTTTAAAATCGGTTCGGTAGGATGAGCTTAAATGTGGACGAAAAGTTCAACACTTTTTTTCAAATTACGAAGAAACGGCTTGGCGGATCGTCGCACAAAACTGACAAACGATAGTCCTCACCGAAATACATCAAATGGCTTTTAAATTTCTAAAATCGGTTCAGGCGTTTTTGAGAAAACGTCGATCAAAAGTCTAATTTTGACAAATGCCAAAAAGACCATACTGATTTTTGCAAACTTTGACGAATTTTAAAGCTGAACCAGTTGTCGTAGGGCCGTAATATTTTAGTATGACCTAGAAAACTATGGTATCTTTCGTCAAAAAAATAATCATAAAAATCGTCAATTTTTTTTTTTTTAAACTTTATTACAAGAAAACGGCTCGGCCGATCTTTACCAAAAACTAATCAGCACGATTCCCAACCAATATCTATCGAACGGTTTTTGAATTTTCAGAATCGATTCATAACTGCGGGCTAAAACGTGGGCGAAAGAGTTTTCACTTCTCTGCTATTCACGAAGAAACGGTTTGGCCGATCGTCGCACAAAACTGACAAACAATAGTCCTCATCGAGATACATCGAATGGCTTTTAAATTTTTGAAATCGGTCCAGCCGTTTTTGAGAAAACGGCGATTTACGGCAAAAAATCTGTTGGTGCACACGCACACACACACACCTTCTTTTTCCAAACGTCGGTCTCATTCGATTCAGAATGGCTTGAAACGTCGAGAAAACATAAAATTAGCGATTCGGATTTTTTGATGAAAACATAAACTCCTTCGGGAAGTTAAAAAATGGATTAATGATATGATGATAGATTTAGGGACAGGATGCGTGACAATGAAAGGGATTATTTTATCGTTTTAAATTATATAATAAGGGGTTAGGGTTTATTATCGCTATCCTGCATGAAGATAATAAAATATAATAATTAGATCAGGGTTGGGAATGAGGCGTTAACAAATGAATTTATATTTATTTTTATTTTTTTATAATTTGAGTGATAATTGATTGGTATTATTATTATTACTAAGGTTCCGGTGCCGTCGCCCTCGCCCACCTGGACGGCGCGGGCACCGAGGAGGCCGCCTCCGGGATGATCGCCCGCGTCCAGGAACTCGCCTTGGGTTATCCCGAGGGAAGGATAGAGTTGCAGCTTATTGGCGGATTCAGCGACCAGCACGGATATAGCGAAGAACTATTTTATAATATTATGCGTGAGTAGAACAATCAATAGTAGTTAATAGAAACTAGTGGTGTGTATGGCATCATGCCTTGAGGCAAATTGCCGGAACTTCCCGTACCGTAATGAAATATTCGAGAAATTTTAAACGTTTTCAAATATATTATTACAACAAATACTGTAACATCATTATTTATAAGAATTATATAAACTGAATTGCAAAGTTAAAATTATTTGTTTAAAGTATATAAGTGAGCTGTAGAACTTTAACCAAAATTAAAATTAAAATCTGAATTATTTTCGTATTACAAATTTTTTTTGAAAAAATGAGAACAAAAATTCAAAACAAAAAATCTGGAAATTTCTAAAAATTCCTGCAATTTCACATATAAAATTACATATTTACAATTATAAATCATTTTATATCACCTTCTATTTTAGCAAACTCAAATTGCACAATTTCTAGGATTTTTCTTTAAAAAACATTTTTGTTTTTTGCACAAATTAATTTTCCTTTATTTAAAATAAAGAAAATTGCATAATTGCACCGTTCTTGTAATTTTTAATAATTAAATTTGTTATTTTGATTAATCAAATTAAATTAAATTAAATTAAACTTATACTGTAACGTTTGATGAATAATTTTGGTAAACAAAGTAAATTCTTTTACTATTACATAACATTTTTTTTTGTATTTTGAATTTTTGCATATTCTTACAAAAAAAAATTAATTAGACACAAACAATATAATATCAATTTTCATATAAATGCATTCATTTAATTATATTTATTATTACATTACTTTTTATAACGTGGTATTTGTTTTTATTTTGTTTTTGGGAAATAAAATACAAAACTGGAACAATTGCTCTTGATAATAATGCTGTATATTGCAAAATGATTCATGAAAGTAAAACTATTTTTTTTTAAACTAGTGGTGTATGGCATCGTGTCTTAAGGCAATTTGCTGGAACTTCTCGTACCGTAACGAAATATTCGAGAAATTTTAAACGTTTTCAAATATATTATTATAAATACGACTGTAAACAATTTATGCAAATGTAATTTTTCATATCTAGGATTATTTTAGGACCATAGTGACCTACATTCTTATGTTTAAACATTCTTAAATTCAACATTTTTTTTAACATTTGGTTCAGATTATTTTAAAATGTAGCCGTGGTCAACTTTTATTTTTCAATTTTATTAAAAATATATTTTTTTAACACAAAAACTCAAATTTTCGAAAAAATAAGTCTTGTTTGTAAATAATGAGGGTACTTAATTAAAACATTTGAACATATAAATTAGGTCAAGAGACGACTCTTACTATACACTGTAACTTTCATTATTTTTTATATCTTTCACAATTCAATTTCAAAAAAAAAATAGTTGCCTAATTAATTTACACAAAATTGAAAAAGTGCTCCCATATTGTCACAGTCTAAACGCATTTGCAAATAATTCTGTGCGACATTTTCACTTATACTGTGCTTAGCTTGGCGGCATTTTTACGTTTTTTCACAAAATTGAAAAAGTGCTCCCGTAGAGTCACAGTCTAAACGCATTTGCAAATAATTCTGTGCGACATTTTCACTTATACTGTGCTTAGCTTGGCGGCATTTTCACATTTTTCAATAGTTTTCTCACAAAATTGGAAAAGTGCTCCAGCACATAAACAGTCTAAACGCACTCGGGTAAACATTTGTACTAGAGTGGCGCTTAGACTGTGCTTAGCCTGGGTAAATTTTTGAATTTTTATTCCAAAATTACAAAAATATTTTATGGAAAGTTTTTTAGTAGAGTCCTTTTTACTTTGTTTTTTATTTTAACTTCACTCATCAGTAGAGTCCTTTTTTTCATTTGTTGTCCTCCTTTTTACTATTTTATGTTTTTTATTTTACAATTTGCTCGTCAGTAGAGTCCTTTCCATTTTGTTTATCTTTTATTTAAGTTTGCTCGTCAGTAGAGTCCTTTTTTGCATTTTTGGTCCTCCTTTTTTACTATTTTATGTCTTTTATTTTACAATTTGCTCGTCAGTAGAGTCCCTTTTCTCATTTTATTATCAAAATGCATAGTTTTTTTGACTGTAGAGTCATATTTTTTATTTTTTATTCTAATTCGTCAGTAGAATCCTTTTTTATTTTGTTTTGTATTTTATTTTGTTCGACAGTAGAGTCCTTTTTGAGTTTGTCTACTGTTTCAGTTTGCTTGTCAGTAGAGTCCTTTTTCTATTTAATATCTAAAATACGTTGTTTGGCTTAACAGTAACTTCTTATATTTTGTGTTGCAATTTAATTTGCTTCTTAGTTATATCCAATTTGTTTTTATTTGTCAGTAGAGTCCTTGGACTAACCTATGTCAGGAAAAAAATTCATTTAGCTCGTCAGTAGAGTCCCTTTTGAGATCATCTTTTATTCAAGTTTGCTTGTCAGTACAATCTTTTCTATTTTATTTCTGAAATATGAAGAATGCTCGTCAGTAGAGTCCTTTTTCTAACCTATGCCTGAAATAAATAAATGCACAGTGTGCTCGTTGGCAAAGTCCCTTTTAAGTTTGTCTGTTTATATTTGCTGGTCAGTAGAGTCTTATTTCTCAGTTCATGTCTTTAATTTCAGTTTACCAGTCAGTAGAGTCCTTTACCTAATTTCATATCTTTAATTTCAGTTTGCTCGTCAGTAGAGTCCTTTCTTATTTTGCGTCTCAAATTTCAATTTGTTCGTCAGTAGAGTCCTTTTCTCATAACATATTTTTTTAATATAAGTTTGCAGGTCAGTAGAGTCTCTTGGGAGTTCGTCTTTTATTCAAATTTGCTCGTCAGTAGAGTCCTTTTCTATTTTATTTCTGCAAATCACATTTTTTTTCGACGATAGAGTCCCTTTTGAGTTCGTCTGTTTGTTTTTTACTTTATCTTTTATTTCAGTTTGCTCGTCAGTAGAGGCCCTTTTCTAATTTATTTCTGAAATACAAAGTTTGCTCGTCAGTAGAGTTTCTTTTTTATTTTACGTCTCAGATTTCAATTTGCTCGTCAGTAGAGTCTTAATTCTCAGTTCATGTCTTTAGTTTCAGTTTGCCAGTCAGTAGAGTCCTTTTTCTACCCTATTCCTAAAATACACAATTTGCTCGTTGGTAAAGTCCCTTTTAAATTTCTCTGTTTATATTTGCTCGTCAGTAGAGTCCCTTTTCTCAGTTCGTGTCTTTAATTTCAGTAGAGTTCTTCTCTAATTTCAGTACGCTCGTCAGTAGAGTCTTTTTCTATTTTATCTCTGAAATACGAAGTTTGTTCGTCAGTAGAGTCCCTTTTTAATTTTTTTCCGAAATACAAATTTTTACCGTTAGTAGAGTTTTTTTTTCTTTGTCTTTCATTTCAGGTTCCTCGTCAGTAAAATCCCTTTTCAATTGAAGTCTTATATTTTAGTTTGCTCGTCAGTAGAGTCCCTTTTCTCATTTCATGCTTTTAATTTCAGTAGTTACCTTTTTTATTTCACGTCTCAGATTTCAGTTTGTTCGTCAGTAGAGTCCTTTTCTCATTTCATATCTTTTTAATACAAGTTTGCAGGTCAGTAGAGTCTCTTTTTAGTTTGTCTTTTATTTAGATGTTCTTTTCTATTTTATTTCTGAAATACACAACTTTTTCGACTTTTGAGAATTGAATTTTTTGAGGTTTTCTGCTTATTAATATTGAAAATACGCACTTTGTCTAACAGTAGAGTCTTTTTTTACTTTATCTTTTATTTCAGTTTGTAGGAGTGAATATTTTGTCTGATTTTTAAATTTTTTGACAGTATACTCCATTTTGAATATAATAAATATACAAAACTTTAATTGAATCGCGGACTATCTAAATGTTAATATTACGACCTAAAACTTTCAGAGAATTTCTTTT